CTAGCACCAACAGCACCTCCAGCACTAGTATTTCCAGTACCTCCGGCAGTACCTCCAGTACCTCGAGCACTAGCAGCTGCAGCACCTCCAGCACCTCCAGCATCAGCAGCACCTCCAGCAGTACCTCCAGCACTCGCAACTCCAGCACCTCCAGCACCTCGAGTACCTCCAGCACCAGCAGCACCTCTAGTACCTCCGGCACCAGCAGTACCTCTAGCAGTAGCAGCACCTCCAGGACCCCCATTAGTACGTACAGAACTAGCAGCTCTAGCACCAGCAGGACCGAACCCTCCACCACTGCCTCGCCAAATGATCCACGCACGAATCTGCTGCGGCGAGAGCGTCTCAAGTAGATCAGGCTGCGGTGGCTGTCCAGCTCCAGGACCTCCAGCAGGGTCACCCACAGCTCCACCGCCACTAGGACTCGTAGCACCCCCAGAGTCAGCACCCCCAGTCGCAGCACCCCCAGAACCAGCACCCCCAGTCGCAGCACCCCCATAACCCTCACCCTCTGTCTCAGCACCCCCAGGCTCAGCACCGGCAGTCTCGGCTCCAGAGTCCACAGCAGCAGGCTGCCGAGGCGGCGAAGACGGCCGAGGCGGAAAACCGCGGGGGGGGTCTCCAAGCGTGGAGAGCGGCGAGTGGCCGCCGTGTCAAACCTGTTCCCACTCTTTTCACTTCAAATGTTTCTGCCTGCACCGGTCTTGATCTGACGGTTGTTGGTGTCGCTTCGACGCTTCTGACTCCTCGACTTCGTACTCGGTAGAGTCAGCTCCTGCAGCGTACAGGAATGCCTTCTCATTAAGTTTCATATTGTAACATTGAGACCGGGCAAATGCTTGGCGAATTATCATGAGACTAGAAAAACAAAATGAAAAATATGAATCAAGGTCATATTTGAAACGTCAGCCCTAATACTACATACAATTATTTCATTGACGCAGTACCTGCGGTCAATTCTGATTACATACTGCCAAGTCATTTCAGTATTTGTTACACATTGCTATGTTTTGCCTAGGTCCTTGTATTTATGGTTGAACTCTAGTAGAATCATTCGTTGATACTAGTTACTATCTCACACTTCTAGTAGTGTACCCATTAAACTATTCCGTAAAGCTGTTTGTTGTAGCGAACCTACTGGTTATGCTGCCACGTCAGCATCGAGGGGATCAGTACAAAGCCAAGCGACCTGACAAGCCATCAGGGCGACAGCCAGCAAGGTCAAACCGAACAGACCAACCAGTTGGGGCCAAACCAGACGAAACCGGACCGACTTGACTTGGTCTGTGCCTAGCCGGTCAAGTACAGGCGAAACGCGCGCGAAATATTCTCGATTTCGCGTTCGTTCAGCCTTCGTTTCCCCCTCCCTCGTTTCCGCCTTTGTTTTTTTTGCACCAACTGGTTTCTTGGTCATATTTCAACACAATAACTCCTTGAAGACGCCTGCTTCTTGCAAGCCGCGTTCTCCTCTTTCTTCATCTGTCATGGCGCGAAACTCGACTCTCGTCTCTCTCAAGCCGTACTTAGTCTGCCGCGTGCTGGTCGTCGTCATGCTTCTCACGTCTCTCTCTACTACTAGTGCCTACCGTGTACACGGTCGCCCGCCTCGTCGCCCGCGCCGCCAGGCGGCTGCGTCCGTAACGCTGATCAACGAAATTCACGCTGACTCGAGTCAGGCGCGCATCAAGCTCCAATCCTCGCAAGGTGAGATTCGTATCACTGAATGAAGATATTTTGGGGCTGCGAAGGTGGTATCAGACTTGGAGGTTCAGATAGGCGAATTTGGGCGCCAAAAGCGATGATCTGCCAGATCTCAGAAATTGAAGGTCTGAAACACCCCCGGTAAAGGTCCATTTCGGGTCCTGTATGGGTCCTTACGGGACCCAACAAAAAGGCACTAACCAGATTCCAATGTGTGCTCCTCGTAGAGACTTCTGGAGCATCCTTGCTGAGTCCGAAATGGGTCCGCCCATCAAGGACCTGGGTTCGGAGGGAGTCGGGCTTTAAGTTTGTAACACTAACACGCAAAATAACATTGTTACCAGATCTCGTTACGTACTACACCACACATAGTAACTGCACCACTGCTATATAATTAGAAACCGTAACAGCAAACAAATGTTACCAAGCAACATATAAACAGTGGTTAAAAAAAGAGACTAAGCTGATTCCAACAAAACAGAGCAACAAAACTATCTATTTGAACTGCAAATACGCCACAAACAAGAAACTGCATTTTGTTAAACGGGGCACATACTCTCCCTACGAAATTAAATTCCTGCACAGAACAAAGAAATAACCGGTGGGTTAGTGTTAGGACTTGCTGCAACGCATGTTGGGACAACTTGTTGATGGTTCAGGTAGTAGTTTAGATCTTGAAAATAATCTTCTCACTACCCAAACAAAACAGCAGAAATGAAGACTTAAAGAAATGTGGTTTCGTTAGTGAAACTCACCATAGTAGCTAGTCAACTGACAGGGTTGAAACACACATTCAGAAGCGAAGGGGAAGTGAGGAGGCCACGCATAGAGCTAGACGCATCTACACAGTCACATAGTGAGTGGAAACGAACGGGAAGCAATTGGCGTAGTGCAACGGGAAAGTGAAATAGGAAGAGCGAAACGCCAGAAACATACCCGCATATCGCGTGCCTAAAAATGCGCTTCCCTGGAGAGGCGCGCACGGCGCTCACCAGATGAGGCGCGCACCTGCAGAGGAGTGCGTCTGCTGAAGCGATCTCCCTGCAGTGTCGAGCGCCTCGAGGGAAACAATCAGGTTCTGTACCTGAAGAGGTTCGCCACAAACAAAAACAGAGGGAAGAATGAGGGGGATTTTACTCGTAACTGTAACACTGAAGACACGAGAAAAACAACTAAGCTACGTTCTTCGTGAGCTAAATAGAAGAGCTTAAAAAAAAAAAAAAAAAAAAAAAAAAAAAAAAAAAAAAAAAACTGAAAACATTGGGTTTCGTTTGCGAGAATCGAGGGTGAACGAGAGGGTTTCAGAGCCTACGGAGCCCCAGCAGACGCGCGCACATGCAGTGGCGCTCACCAGCAAAGGCGCGCAACTGCTGAGGCGCTCACCAGCAAAGGCGCGCACCTGCTGAGGCGCTCACCTGATGAACCGCGCACCTGTAGCCGCGCAGGCGCTCACCTGCAGAGGCGCGCACTTGCAGAGGCACGCGTCTGCTGAGGCGAGCACCTGCATTATCGAGCGCCTCGAGGAAACAGGGCCGGTTTCACCTGGAAGAGGTATAGGAAACAAAACGAAAGGGAAGCATGAACGGGCTTAAACTCTTAAGTTTCACTGAAGACACGAGCGGTACTAACTTAGTAGCTAGAATCAAGAGCTATCGTGGCTAAGGAACTAGGCACAACACGAATGAAGAGGAGTAAGAGTGGTTAGGTGAATATGGTTGTGCTGTCACGAGCAGAAACAAGGGGGTGTGGTTGCGAGATTGAGATCAAGAGCTGAGTGGTTGGCTTGATTTGTGGGACAACACGTGTAGTTTGAGAAGTGGTTGGATTGGAGGGAGTGGTTGAAGAGGGGTTGGCCAATCACCGTTCTTGTTCTCGGTTGGTGGTTTGACAAATTTGAAAACAATTGCTTCTGAAGTGTTATTGGTGGTATCGAGCAACTCAAAACCGAGATTATGCCTCTCCAACAAACTCGGTCCGAAAGGTACCCCGCCGTGACAAAAGCGATCTGGGCCCGAAAGGCATGTTTTTGGACAAAGCTACAGTGAAAAGCAGTCCCGAATGGGTCCCTCTAGACTCCTACCGGACACTTTTCGGAACCAGACTGAAGTAGGGCCAATTTCGGACCTTTCAATTTTGGAAATGTGGTCGTCGTCATCATGCTCATCGCTTCCTCCGCTGTTACAAGTGCCTACCGTGTGGCGGAAGGCCATCGACAACATGCGCCTGGACGGAACGTTGCCGTGATGCGTCGTCCGCCTCTAACTCGTCGCCCGCGCCAGGCGTCCGTAGTAACGCCGAATCAGGCTGGCGTCACGCTCCACCCCTCACAAGGTGAGATACTAGTACTATTCTCCGAATCAGGCTGGCGAATGATACTATTCTCATGAGATGAGAACGGGAAATAAATACCAAAAAACAAAAGCGAATGGTTGAACGCCGTCAATACACCGTGTATAATGCGAGTGGTGACCACTGCTCGCAGTGCTACAACTGAATGACAGGTATTTTGTTTGTTCGTTTTTTTATAATATTGTTATTTTTCTTCCAGGTTAGAAAGGACTAGCTGCCCCAAGTACTACTCTTGCGAACGAATTCATTGATAACAAAAGCTATTGAAAAAAATAAAAAAAAACATAGGGCCAGCACCTGTTATACGTTTTTCAACACATGCCGAGTTCGAGTCGATTTTTTTTTTCAAAAACGAGTCACATCATCAACATTTATCATGAGGTCGCCACCAAAAATGTCAACTTTCCCAGTTGACCAGAGTCTGTCAACGTTGTACAGCATGGGTGGAGTTGCTCGGCTTGATACATCATAATGTTGGACATAGCGGCTCCAACAGCATGGATAGCACAAGCGGCCGAGCATTGCCTCACATTCTTTGTTAGAGGGACTGATTCGAGTGGAACTGCCGCTCACAAATGTGACTGGATCTTAGGAACAACCAGCCTAAATAGTTCACGACTATCACGACCACTATCATTCCTCTTGGCAGTCCTGACGCTTTCCTTCTTTCCCTCTTTAAAATACAGCAGAACGTGGAAATGCCAAAGGCAGGCGACCAGTTCTAGTCGGCCAACAGGCGGACGGTCGCCAAGCATGCCGCTCATCCCCTGTGTCGTGCCTTGCCATATCCCCAAAACAACCTGCCCCCAGTGCAAGCGATTAATGACCTGGCCAGCACATGCCGCGTATTTGAGGGGCCACATCAAGTTTTTGACTACGCGCCAGACATGTTCTGTGCCGGCGATTGGGCGAGTGGCAATATGACTGAATGGCCCTGGGGCTTTGGAAGTATGAAGTGTAACCGACACGGCATGGTTACCGAGCTGTGAGCTCTGTGATGAGGTGTTGCTGCTGTGCGGTTCGGAAAAAGAATACTGGGGACAGGGGGGAAGGAGGAAGTGAGGATGGCAATAGGGGAAGGGAAGGGCAGTGCATGGGGTAGTATGGAGGGTTATTTGGCATGATGGATGATGGAAGAGAGCGTATACTGCAAGTGTTAATTGGCCATTATATACGACCGTGCTTTGGTGCTAGTGGAGAGAACTAGCATGCATTTGCAAATGACACAGTCTGCAGCAGGATTTAGAGAACCTGATGTAGCAATGCCACCGTTTCTGTTGAAAATGTACAACCATCCAGTTAATTTTTCCTTTTCCTTTATTTTATTTCATGTTCTGTTTTGTTTTGTTTTGTGTTGTTTTTTTTTATTATTATTAATTTCTAAATATTCTGAAATGTGATGCAGGCTGGCGTATCAAATTATTGAGGATCAATTCACTGAATCTTTTACCACATGTGGAGCCGTGCCGTCATCCATCACAGCCCTCACTGATCTTCGGAAACTGTCAGTGCAGACCACTGTTGGAAAGGGCACCAGGATGGTCGTAGGAGAAGTTGAAGGGCCGCATACTGGGTTGTGGGTGCACTGAACCACCACTGAAACACGTGAGCTGGTGACACAGTTGCATTCATCATTCCACACGCTACTTGACGGGTGGTTTAGCATCTGAAGTCTGCACACCATACAGGATCTAGAAGCTCACCAATTCTGTTGTTCGCTTCTTTTGAGTCACCCTGCTCTCTTGCATTACATGGATTTCTGCAGGGATATGTCTCATTCTTACTTTGGCGGAGGCTTGGAGATTTTGGGCCATTTTCCCAAGTTGCAATATGTGTACGCAGCTCAATCTGTTCCGCGTTAGCACTTTTCTAACATCTAATGCCATGCTGGGATACCTTGCTTCAAAGTGGGGTTTCGCAGTTGAGTGGGCTGAGGCAAAGGTTTATTACCTGCGTCAAAGTCCTTCGCGTGTGTCTGGTTACTATGCTATTTAGTTTCAACCAGGCAGCTTTACTTTGCCAACGACCAGCGAAAATTCGTCCAAAAACTTTTACGTTGAATGTGCACCCCCACTTGGGAGTCATTTCGTCAGCTCTGCCTTCTCCCCTTGCCCTCTCCCACGCCTGAGCTTTGCCTTACCCACCCACCTGGTTGCCATTCTACGTGACAGAGATCTGAGCTATACCGATTTCAGAGGATCCATCCCTGAATCCATCAGCAATGCCACGAGTCTGAATTATCTGTAAGAGGGGGTTCTAGTCTAGTGCCAAGGCATGGTCGGGGCATGAATAGTAACTCAGTTTTTCAGCACGTCCGCATTCAACTTTCAACAATGAAAAGTGTTTGTTAGTGCTTGTTTGTTTGTTTGTTTGTGTGTGTGTGTGTGTGTGTGTGCGTGCGTGCGTGCGTGATTGCGTGCGTGCGTGCGTGCGTGCGTGCGTGCGTGCGTGCGTGTGTGTGTGTTTGTTTTGATTAAGGTTTAGGGTTTGTTTTTCTTGAAGTTGCTGCTATGATATTTCTTTTCTCCTTTTTTTTTTTATTTTCCTTTGTTTCTCCTGCTCTTGTTTTGTTTGTTTCCATTGGCTGCTGGACGGTATACATCCTACCCCTTCAGTACCCATTATCCAACTTCTGGGATTCAATATCATCATATTTCTGTGCCATTGAACGTTGTTGTGGCAACCACTTCTGTGTACCAATCTGCATGCATCCCATCCCAGTGACCTCATGGGCGTGGATCTCAGTGGAAGTCTCCCTTGCAGCATCAGTCACCTCACTGCACTCGTAACCCTGTACCTTCCCCTTCTCCTTGCTAGAGCTCTCCCTCCTCCTCTTCCACCTCCTTGCAGCCATGGGCATCACTTACAACTCGCGTTGACATGCTGGTTTGTGCTTTCCTCACATCCCAACCACTCCTCCACTTTCTGTCAAACTGCAAAGTCTGTTTCTTGCAACGAACTTCCCTTTACCCGACTCCCGTTTTCTACCTTTACCCCCCTCCCCCCCTCCCCAACGTGCAGGCATATTGGACAGCGTCAACTCTATGAGTCATATGTGGATCCATCCCTTAGCGCCGAACCAACCAAGTGAGATTGATGGAGACATCTTCAGGCTCCTCTGCCTGCTGGTGCATGCCATGGCGTATGGTTTGGTTTTTTTTTTTTTTTTTTTTTGGGGGTGCAAATACATTATCAAATGTAGATACATCCACAGTCATAACTGTAGTCCTGGAGGGCACGGGCCTCGCTAAGGGAGCGACGCATGTCCCCCCTTTTACTACTACGGTGGTTGATGAAACGTTCGTGAATTGTGCCATGTGGATAAGAACTGGGCCGTCCCCTTTGTCGGACCATCCGCACTGCAGATCCCTTGCAATTGCTTCCTCTCGTCGGCCGCCACGTGGATCCTTTGATCGGAGCTTCCCCCAATGCCTCCTTCGCTCTTGGTCATCGTCCTGGCCCTGGATGCCAGCACAACTCTTGCATGCGTCACGAACTCCAACACAGCACGGCGCCCCACTTTTTTTTCCTTTCAAACCCGGCCGCCCGCCATGCAGCGTCGCACCTCGCCAACCACACATGGCGAAACACTACGGCAGTCAGCGTCACCTCCGGAAACCCCGTAGTCATGCCCCCCCTTTCAAACAGCAGATCCCCCAGAGAATCCATCGGCCTGCCCGGGTTCATCAGCTGCAGTGTCCTCTTGAGCGCGCCGATGATCGGTTGTATGACCGGGCAGCTGTATAGGCAGTGGGCTAGGGTTTCCTCCCCCCCGCAGTGCGCGCAATTGATACTGTTGCTGAAGAAATCCAGCCTTGCCCCCACTTGGAGGTTCATGCGCCATGGCGTATGGTGTGTGCCAGTCGCGTTGAAACATGCAAAAGTTGTAGAATGCGGTCGGTGGCACGTGTGTGTGCAGCTCGAGAAGCTGATGCGTGGGATGCTCTAGAAATGACTTGCAATTGCAGTGCAAAGCGTCCTGTTCTGAAGAGCCAGTTGCAATGACTTGCAGTTGCAGTGCAACTGCAGATCATAAGGCAATGCCAGCCGTGTGTTCCAAGCTGCTCTATTCACACGCCTCAGTACATCTCGTTATCCACTTCTCAATCCCTCTTGCTCACTGCTCGATGCTCCCACGCAAACAGGGCTTCATATGACAATATCCCCCCCTACGACTACTGCTGCTGTCATGCTTTGTGCAAATGCCGCCCACAGAAAGCTGGTCACTCCCCGTATCCTTTCACCCTGCTGACTGTGTATCTCGCAGCATTCCCTTGGCTCAGTCGAACATGAGCCCCCTTAATAGGATGCAAGGCTCCATGGACGACCTCTCGTGTCTCGCCCCACTCACTCGCCTACAGTTCCTGTATGCTCCACTTTCATCCGCACCACTTTCTCACCCATCCCTACCCTTTCACTCACTCGCCTACTTTCATCTCAATCATCTCTATCCCACTTCTCCCTTCTGGTTCATCCTTGCCCGCCTTCCTTTCTCGCTCGACCAAGGAGTGCTCCTTGTTGTTGCTCAGTAGAATCAACTCCTTCTGCAAGAAAATCACCCAGCCAAGTGGCTCTCCGCCTTTTGCTGCCCCTCTCTCACCCACATTCCACGTAGCACTACCCCGTGTGTCATTCTCAAAGCCTTGCTCACTCACATTGACTCACCTCCCTAGATGTTGTGTGTCTACACTTGAGCATTGAGTTGAATCCTCTCATTTTCACATATTCTTCTGTATTTCATTCTCACTTCTCCTCAGATCTCTCATGAGTCTTAACCTCACGGCTGGAGAGTTGCCTTCCTCTCTCTCTGCCCTTAGTAAACTCGGGTTCCTGTAAGTCTCTTGGGTAACCACCGCGCTGTCGCTGGGCCCATGCCTTGAATATGATAATCTACATGTAATATTTATATATACATATACTTTCCAATGTTTAATGCATTGTTTTAGTGACCAACGAAGCACAACCATGATAGTGTCGCATTCTTTGTAGCTCTGGGCATCTGCTTGCACTGCATTATTATGATCCAATCAAAATCGAAAAACAGGTGTCTCTTTTAAGGGTTCATTGGTCCTATTATCAAACCATCAAGACATAGGAGGACGCATACACGTTTCACTTTCAAGGGTTCATCAGTCCTATTAATGAACAACGAAGACATGCCCATAGTTGAACTAGAGAAGGAGCTTGGGTTTGTGCCAATCCTCTCTTCCCTCTCTGTTCTTCCATCTGTGGCAGTGACCTTAGTTTCCTCCCCATCACCCGCTTACCGCAATGGATCAATTCACTTTCTGGCCTGACCTATTTGTGAGTGGCACCAACAGCCCCTCGCCCCACTCGGCCCCAACTATCAACACGTTATGTCGTAACTTGCACGTCCTTCACTTGGGAAAAGAGGCGCATGCACGTCCCTTTTATGGGTTCCATCTCCTCTCCCTCCTGCACCACATGTGATTCGCCATAGTCCTACCACCTGCGCACTCACTCGCTGCGTTGCTTTGCTCGCTGCGCTGCTGGAACTTTGCCAAGGCAAACGTGCAAAAGCTCGCTCTCTAACTCAGTTGTGCCGCCTTCACTAGAGTGCTTCTCTCACTTTCACTACGTGACCATGCGCTGTTCTTCCACATGCAGTACTGCCCTGTGCTGTGACTCCCTGGTCCACCGACTATAATAGCCTGACTAGAGTGCCCTGTGGCTCCTCCAATCTCCACGCCCACCAACAAGAGCTCACTAGAGTGCCTGTGCCCATCCTCGCCACCCTCCTGCCCTTGACCGCACTGCAGGGATGTCACCGGCAACTTTAATGTCCACCGATCTGCACCTTTCCCCACTGAATGGATGGCATTCACAGGGCTGCAAACTCTGTGAGCCATCCACCGCGACAAGAGCACAGAATTTTGGTTTGACGTATTTGAGCTGCTCAGGCCGCTCCCACCATTCTATTCCTGTTTGCCGGGCTGGCCTGTATACCCACTGCTTTGCCCACCAGCCAACCAACAACTCGTCCAGCTCTCCTCTCCTCCCCACCAACCCCGCCCTCCCACTTCCACCTCCAGGAGGGCCGGTCTGAATGGCTTTACTGGCTCTATCCCCTCCACCATCTCCGCCCTCACTGCCCTGACTGAGCTGTACGCCTCCCTTCCCACCCATTCTCCTCTCGATTTCTTGGTCATTCCCTCCCCACACAATACGCAAGCATCAATTTGTATGAACCAGGTTGTGAGCAGCAGATTGAGAGCACCAGGTTAACAGCACCAGATTTTGATGTAGCAAGATGCGAGGGCCAACTTGGAAAAGGGATAGATATGTGAAGGCGGCTCATCCTGTCGTTTCCTACAATGCAGCGCCAACGTCTCTCCCCTCCTCGAAATGGCCCCATCAGGCAGCTCTATTTCAACAACCTCACAGAAAGCATCCCTGCCGGCATCTCCAAGCTCGCTAAACTGAGATATCTGTAAGCCCCTGAAATTTTTGCTGTGTTTTTCTTTTTCACCATGCTTTTCAGACCGAATCAGCGTGCAAAAGAACGTCATTGGGCCAGCTTTGGAGATAATAACTGAGTTGCAAATTCGCAAGCAACCAGTAGCTTGAAGCCATCCCTGCACTTGTATGGAATGACAGTTCACTGCACAGAGTTGCATTGCCATAATTCGAAAGTCCATGCATCCCTTTTGAGTCAACTCAAAAATCTCCTTGATTCACATGTATGCATTGGCCTCTCCCCACACGTGCCTGCCTCCACACAACACAGTGGGCTCTCCTACAACAATCTCACCGGCGCCGTTCCTGCCACTCGTGCATTCCTCCAGACCTTGTGAGTTTCTAACACACACCTCTCCTCACAAGCATACGAGGGACAACCTACGGAATTAGCTGGTGAACTCTCCTGGTAAGGCTCTTTCACTATGCCTTTTTTCCTCTCGTGGCAGTTTTTCTTCAAAAATCTCTTCGGATTTTTCTGCTGCTGCTGCTTCGAGAATGTATGTATGTGTTTCTTTCGGTTACAAGGGGAGCTCTTTGTGCTGCGTTTTGCTCTTGATAGCTAAGGCTGTGTGAATTCAGATTATCTCACACCACCCAGTTACATGCTGTCATGCATGTTATGTTCAACAGACCCGCCTCGTGCTCCTCCAAATAGCTGTTCAAAATCGCACATCCCTTTGCCGTGTAGCAGTCAAGCACTTCCACCCTTGTTTCAGCATGCATGTCCCTTCTCTATTCAACATCCCCCTCCTCTCCACCTGCCCTCACTACGTGCCCTCATTGTGTGCAGAGAGCTCTCCCACAATCACCTCACCACCATGCCTACTGCCATCCATGCGCAAAATATGTAAGTCCTAGGAGGATTGAGGGCAAGGTTCAAAATTACGGTTTTCGTAAAATACGGTCCGTTTTTTACGGTCGTTTTTTACGGTGATTTTTCAAAAAAACGGCCGTTTTTTTGTTAGAGATCTCTGTTCACCAAGAGAAAAAAAGAAAAAAACAAGGTCAAAAACAATTTCGATCATGCCAACAAGCGCATACATGCAAGAAGAAGTCCCAATAAGTGGCCGTTTTGTTAGTTATAGAGGAAACACATCCTGGAACCGTTTTAAACCGTTTTTTACGACCGTTTTTTACGGTACCGTTTTTTACGGTGAAATTTCAATAAAACGGTCGTTTTTTTTAACCCTGATTGAGGGTACGTGGACGTGAGCAAGAGAGAAGTATATAAGGTCCTTGGCAAGGGGTATGCCAGAAAATTAGTGCTTTGAGTGAGCAAGCAAGTGCCCCACTCCCATGGAAAATGCTCCACTAGGAGCAACTGGATCCGTATGTTGCTGGCTAGGGGTTTTTTTTGTGGCACTATTTTGCCGTTGTTCGGTTATGCAAAGGACCATTCGAGAGAGAAAGTGATGGGTGATGTTGCTTTAGAGTTCAGGGACTTGACCTGCAATAAGCTCGTGACTTCTGATATCAATGACATGACCAAGAAGCTGAGCTTTTGAGAAAACTGACATGAAAAGAGTCAGGTTGACATAAGTTTGTTTTTGTCAATGATTTATGGACTGGACTGGGGTGAATGTAACGTTGATTCAGTCAATTGCCCTGAGTGAAGTTTAGGATGCCTCAAATCGAGTGCTGTCTTACATCATCAGATGGATTGCCTGTTAAGTCAGTCTGGTAATCAATTTAGTTTGGCTTGAAGTGGAGTCAAACCCAAGTCACCGGTCTCACGGGCCGAGGTGATGCTTGCTCATGTCATGCTTGCGTTCAACTGTTTTGCTATCTCACTGTTTAGATCAAGTTACAGAAGCTTGCAGAATGTCAGCAACTTTCAATGCATGGGAAAACAGTCGACAAAGCTTCAAGGTGGCGCAGCAGTATATGATTGAAATCTCTCCACCCTCCCCCACCTCTTCCATCCTTCCCTGTCCCTTGCAGCAAGCTGAGCCACAACGACCTCAAGGGATCCGTGCCCGTCAATGGAGACGTGTATAGCATGTGAGATGTGCCGCCCTGCCCCTTGCATGTCACGCGTAAGTACCGGGTCCAGTACCCCGCAACCCTTGCGAATCACCTGCCTTGTCTCCTCCACCAGGCACCAGCTTTCACCGCACACCGTGTTACGTCTTGGCAGCTCGGCAGAACACACAGCTGCCATGCAAGGCCAACAATCTCAGTCTCAGGGGCGCTTCCACATAGTGGGTCCATCATGCCAGCTTGACATGATTGGGTTTTAGTGTGAGCCCTTTGCCGCCAATGGCTCGAGCAAGGTGAGTGAAGCCCACCTTGAAACAACCTCGTGAATCCAGGAGAGTTGAAGAAACTACCTTACAGGGCTTACAGACGAGTGCAGGCAGGCTGCCTTCGAGGTAGATAGCGAATCCCCCCTTCAATGGGGACCGACCCCTCCATTTAACAGGGTTGGGGAGCAGAGGCACTATCATCGCTGCACACACCACGACGGCTGGCTGTGGCATGGGTACGGTCAGGACGAAGCCAGCGCAGCACACCTGAGGAGTCAGTTTACAGGGAGGCGACGGGGCAGCAGCGACTGCCGGAGTGTCGGCAGCGGCTGCTTGTCCTTGAGCTGCTGCAGCTGGTCCGTGCTGTGGGCCGCCTGTCAATCACCGTTGCGTCAGCGACGGCTGTTGATTCCGCGTCAGCCGCGAAGATCACAAGCGATTGGGGCAGAGTGTGTAGTTCAAAGTATAGGCCTCTTATCCCTCTCCTTGTTGCTTTATGCGCGATGTATAATTAACCTATGAAAACACTTGTAATTGCTTGATGAATCACTCTCTCTCCCATACCTGTCTGTTCCCCATCACTCATGGTTGGGCACATACACACTAATCTGTCTATGAATGACCAACACCTGCCCAAACCACTAGACAACAGGTGCAGAACAGCCAAGGGGTTGCATTAACAACCACTTCCAGGCGCTTCCTCCCTTTTTCTCCATCCATCACACTGCATGTGTCTCCCTCTCCACCTTTGCCCTTATCACCAGCGTTTGCTTGCCATGCTAACCATCTCTCATGCCTCCCACAGAGACCTCAGCTACAATCCTCTTAGTGGAGGCTTGGATGTGCTCCTTAAAACGTCCTCGACTGGTCAATTACGGTGAGTGCGCAAGATGTAGTTCATCATTGTGCGATATGTGAATCAGAAATGGTTGTATCGGATGTTAATATTGCCAATTCGTACATCTCCTGCTCATCCTACTTGCTTCCACTTGGATGATCGTAATTCCAAGGTTTATCTGTCTACCTTCATTCTTCCTTTATATCCCTACCCTCGTGACCTATACCCACAAATTAATCCCCCTTTCCTCCCATCCCCACCTCATTATTCCCCCTTCTTTCTTCCCCTCTCCAACACGTTGTTCATCTTCTGTCCTTAGGATGCTACATGCCGCATCATGCAACTTCTCAGGCCCATTTCCATCCTACACCAACATAAATTTCGAAAGGCTGTAAGCTTCTCATGGATATCCAAGTGGTACGTTTGAATAGAAGTTGCACATCAGTCTCGACGTAACTCATCAATGCCTGTGTAAGGTACAACTCTCTGTTCCAAAGTACAGTCAGATTCCGTAATTGTCTGTTTGCATGTCTCTGTGACTTCTTTCGTCTCTCTGCATTTGTCCATTTGTTGTTCGTAGATGAAATAATATACCATAGGTGTCTAAGGTGTCATGTGAATAGGCAAGATCAGATCAAAAGGCAAATGGACTTTGTGTGACGTGCTCATTCAGCAGCTTTACCCAGATGCACAAATTCTCCTAAATCATCCTTCTTTCGTCTTCTTTTCCTGTGTTTCTTACCCCATCCAATACTATACCCTCACTCACATCACTGCCTTCAAGCTTTATTGCCCACCTTCCCGTACGGCCCTTCCTCCTCCACAGTGACGTGTCTAACAACAGCTTCACTGGACCCTTCCCCTCTAACCTCTTGAATGCGGAAAATTACATTAGAGACATGTAACGCATTCTCAATCAAGTCTCATGGGCTTCTCAATGATGTTTCACAAACGTCTTCTTTCCTTTTCATGCAACGGTGCCTCCAGAAGCCGTTCACTCCAATCATTTCAATCAAGACGTACACTTCATTGCATCCAAGCCATATAACCTTCATTGCATCCAAGCCTTAGAACCTTCATTGCATGCAAGCCATATACCCTTCATTGCATGCAGGCCATATACCCGGCATGCAAGCATATACCCTTCATTGCATGCAAGGCATAGGCTTCATTGCATCCAATCCATTATCTTGATTGCGTGTAGCAACCTCTCACACAACAACTTCACGGGACCCCTCCCACCAAAAATAGCTGTCCTAATGTCCCTGATCTCTTAGTAGTTCTTAGAGCCATCCTCTGTTCTTGCAGTTGGTGACAAATTGTTTCAGATCTTTCGTCCTGTCCTCCATAACACCTGTGGCGTTTCCTTGCCAATGTTGGTCTCCTGTGCTGACAGCAACATTTCCCACAACAAGTTCTCTGGCGTTGTTCCTCGCGGCATTTGGGCCCTGACCAGCCTAACGTCCCTGTGAGTGCCTGATGTCCCTTTTATTGCGGCCACTCATCCCATCAAATGCGCCTCATGTGACGAGGAAGTTAAATAGTGGCACATGAATCCAAGGTGAGCTCAACAGCACGTTGGAATGACTATGGCTTGCGAAACTGAGTTGTGATCCTCAGGTGCTGCCCTGCAAGGTCACTTGAGATTGTTGTGGAGTGATGCCCATTCCACTAATATGGGGCTCTGTTGTTGGTACGATTGGTGAAAGTTGTTATTAGACTGACCAAGCACATGTTATGCTGTGCCTTGATGAGCCGTGCTGTTCTGGCCTGTGCCATGCTCTGTCGTCTTGTGCCATGCCACCCTACCCCTTCTGGCATGGACAAGAGCCGAGCATGCTAGCAGGACGGTGGGCATGCATCTAGCCGTGGATCGTGCATTGCATGTGGCAAGAAAAATAGGTGGAAAATCATTCACGTGCATTCTGGCGGCTTGTCTTTGAACGTTCCATGGGCCGCTGGATGGCTCATTCCTCACTCCAGCACGTTGCTTCTTACGTATGTTACTGATTTTTCATATTCTTCCATAATCACCCGTGCGCTCTTCTCAGTGACATGGCTCACAACCAGCTCCAGGGGCCTCTTCCTTCTGCTATCAGCTCCAAATTTCTCCATTCTATGTATGCATGCATAGAATTTGCTCTCTCCAGTGTGGAAAGAGGGCAGGAAGTGCACATCCTAAAGCGTATGCTGCCTCGATTTTTCCTGATTGACGACGGCGAGTGTTGTGTATTTGCAACTGTGAACATTCCCTTTTGTACACACTGCGAGCCCTTCCTCCATTCCCATTCCCACACCTGTGCCAACAGTAACATTTCCCACAACCAGTTCACTGGCGTTGTTCCTCCTAGCATTTGGACCCTGACGTTCCTGACCTCCCTGTGAGTACCTAACATCCCTGTGAGCTCCTGGCATCACTGTGGGTGATGAAACTCATCCCATCAAACTGTCCTTGTGGGATGAGGAAGGTAAGGAGCGGCAATTGAAGGCAAGGTGAGTTCACTTGTACAACTTTCTAAACCAATTCTCGACCCTCTGGTTCTGCCTGAAAGGTCTCCTGAGATATCACAATGCAAATGCCAACCATGAGGCAGTAGACAGGGAGATTCTTACATAGCATGCAGCTGTGGCTGAGGGAATTAGCAAACCCTTACATTGATCCAAGGAGTTGGAGAGCAGTCATACCAATGCGAGAGGAAAGAGAAGTTAGTAGGGTTATGAGTGCATTCGCAGTGCTCAACCCACCAGTGTGAGGTGCTGGCATTGGTACAATTGGGACAGTTGTGACTGGAATGACCAACCACAGCTGCTTGTGTTTGAAGAACCTGCCACAAAGGATTTACTTTACGCAAACCTACAACGCGTGTTTAAACATAATGGCTTACCGAATTTTACGTTATTTCAACACTATTAGGCTGTGCCGTGTTGTCAAACGTTGTACCATGACGTGCCAAACTACCCCTTCCATCCATGTGGAGGAGACCCGATCATGCTAGCGGGATAATGCACTCTTGGCCATCGAGTGGTGCATGTGGCATGCAGGCCACGTGTGCATTTGGACATCGAGTGGTGAATGCCACACTTATCACTGCAGCATGTTGCTTCTGTTCTGGCGCATGTTACCATCGTTTCTCTTCCCTCCGCCATTGCCCACGTGCTCTTTCCAGAGCCATGGCTCACATTCCCAGCATTGCATGGCTCTGAGGGCATGGTAAGCCACTAGTTATATGAGCAGAGTGACACGTTGTATGTATCCTCATTCCCCTCGCCTCCCCTTCCCCATCTTTCCAATCCTTCGCCTCATTCGTCCCACAAACACTAACCATGCCCCACACAATCCCCAGAGATATAAGTGACAACCAACTCAATGGTTCCCTCCCCAACTTAATCTCCATCCTTTCAATGCTGCATCACCTGTGAGCCAAAGACAACCTTTGTGTGCATAAGGCAGGGTGTTGTTGTGAAAATGGGATGTTTGAGAAGGCAGGATTGTTACCTAAAAAAATGAGTTTTGCACACCTTGTCTGGCATGTCATGGCTGACAGCATCAGCCAAGGTAGCACATTTTACTCCATTCCACAACGTTTCTCTCAGACATCATTGCAAGAAGCTGATTAACTTGGTTTGCTGGCATGCACGTGTGGAATGGCATGGCATGGCAGGGGCCTTGGAGGCAACAACTTGAGTGGTCCCATACCTGCAAGCCTGGGAGGATTTGGGGATCTAACGTCCCTGTGAGTAGCACAACCTTCCCCCATCCAACACAAACCTAAACGTGGCTTCCCTCCTTGCTATGCTCTTATGGCTTCCACCTTACATTCTTGGGTCTCACTAGTACATCTCGTATTCCCCCACTGGCCTCTTTTCGACATGCACTCCCTAATGGCTCATGCTGCTTCATCGTTCTTGCTTCAATCGTTCTACTTGTTGTGCCACAAGCGAACCTGTAACCAATCTGCTCCAAGTGGACATTGCATGCGGTGACCAGCCAAACTCACAGAACGAACTCCGACTGCCATAATTATTTCTCATACAAGCTTGTCAAAATGTGTGCTCTTGTGAAGTATTTGGCCCAAGGGACACTTGCATTCTCCATGGCAATGACCTGTCCCTATCTTTATGTATTCCTGGCTGAGGGGATGGGTTTTTTAAAAAATCTAGGACATTATCCACATTCTACCGCTTGTATATTTTTTCCTCCCTTCTCCCATCCGTCTCCTCCCCACCTCGCTCCCAGAAACGTCACGGGCACGGGGCTGACCTGCTTTGTAGAGGGCAGCAAGTGTGTGGTGCAGCAGAGAAACACCACCAGCTTCTGCCGCCTCTGCTCCTCCTTCTGCTCCTCCTGCATGCCCCGTATATGTGAGCCTCCTTTCGGCTGTGACTTCACACACACACACACACACACCCACAGACACACACACGCACCCACCCACACACACACACACACACGCACGCGCGTGCGCGCGCGCTCGCGCGCACACACACACACACAAAAGAGTGATGCCACACCGACTTCAAACAAGCCTTGCTTATACGGCTAGTTGGCAAGACAAGGCATTCCTTGCAGAATATGATTCAAATACGCCTGTATGTGCTCACATTTCAGTGTCAACCATAGAAGCACCAGCATCGGCTGAAGCACCAGCCTCAGCTACAGCACCAGCATCAATTGAAGCACCAGCATCAACTGCCGCGCTAGCATCGGCTGAAGCACCAGCCTCGGCTGAAGCGCCAGCCTCGGCTGAAGCACCAGCCTCGGCTGAAGCACCAGCCTCGGCTGAAGCACCAGCATCAACTGCAGCGCCAGCATCGGCTGAAGCACCGGCATCAATCGTATCGCCTGCGTCGGCTCCAACGTCAGCAATCAAGTCCCCATCGTCATCTGCCCCTGGCGCGCTCATTGCTGCTGCCATCAACCTCTCTGGTGCTGTTGCCATTGCAACCCTCTTGCTTCTGATGTTTGTAATGTGAAGCATGGATCTCTAACATCTTGGTTTTGTAATGAATGGTTGCTGTAGACAATTGTAGTTTTGCTAGAAAACGTTTGGGTTTTGTGGATAGAAACTGGATTTATTATTACCCGGTTGTGCACACTTTCAGTGTCGATATTTACCGGTACGTGGTATACGTGTCAGGCAACTGAGTGGAATTTGGGTTCGTGATTTCTAACAAACGTTTAGGTCGTTGGCTGCACTATCTATTGGGCTTGTTATGACTTGTATGTATTAAATTTGTGCCAATATCTTAAACCATTCTAATACCGTATGGATCAGAGTTAGGGCAGTCTATCAAACTTCTGCTCGCTCACACCTAGCACGACCCTAGCCCACACCTTCTCGTAGTACCCAGACGTCCACTGCCTTTGCCTCCACTAGCTGCCAGCGTACCAACCAGCCGCACGCCCGCATGCGCCAGACAGCACGCACGCACCAGTGCCCCAGCAGCGCCAGCAGTGCTAGCGTGTCAGCAGCCCGCACGCCCACCAGTGCGCCAGCAGCACATGCTCGCCAGCAGCCCGCGACTGATGTGCTCCAGCGCGCCCGTAGCATGCATGCATGCCAGCGCGCCAGCAAGTGCTAACTGATAATCACCCAGCTTAGGGAATTGGAATCCTGATAATAATACAAACAGATGATTTTGAATATTACCCAGTCCCTTGCCTAATTTTTTGCCTGTTTTAGGCTAAAAAAAACTTATAGCTATTGAGACTATTTTCTAGCAACTGGTCCTGCTGATCTCGTAGATTATAAGAAACGAATAGATTTTGATACGGATAAGCCAGGTTATTAGTGACCAATTAAATAACACCGTAAGCCTGGGTATCATATGGTATATGAAAGTTAAATTGTATGGACACCGATGATCTAATTGATGCTCTCTTTGGTAAAGGCAGACGGTGCTCTGCTCACAAGTGTAAGGAATTTTCTCGATATTCCTTAGCGCACCCTGCAACATCGCGTACAGCAGCAGCCGTTGTTCGCCCGTTACTGCTAACGGGGCTTCGCCGACTTCGCGCGCACTGTTTCACGAAACCTCGCACTGTTGGCCTGGCCGTGTCGGCCTACGCCTCGGGACTAGCCCGAGCCTCGCTTCCAGCGTAGCACTAGCTAGCTCGCACGCACCGCGTTACCGTTTGCATGTTTCGCGTATAAATGTTCGCTCAAGCCTTCGCTCACATTTTGTACTCGTTTGACACCTTAGTGCAATTCTCGCTACTTCGATTCATTGCACCCGTAACACTTGGTATTCAGAGCCTCTTCCTATTCGGACCGCGCATCTCCGCACCCCAGGAAGTCAACTTTTGATTTTTCACTCGAAGGGACTCACGTACCTTAGCACCTAGGAGCCGCTGTCCTCGCGTTCTCTCGTAAACGCGTGCAGCCACGACTGCGCCTAGACTAAGACGAGCCGACGCCCTTCGAAATGGCTGAACGTATCGACGTCACGACTCTCACGCAGGAGCACTTGAACGATCTGTTGCGACAAATCCGCGAGAGCGCCGAGGAAATCGCGACGCTGACGGCAGAACGCTCGTCCCTGCAAAACGACCTCACACGAGCACAATCCCAAGCACCTGGCACTCCGATTCAGCCCGCACCACAGACATCACAGCACGGAAGTGTGGGGCAACCCGCGAGCGCCGCAAGAGATGGCGTCGTCCGCCATGACGGAGACGACGACCACGGCACGACACACCCCGACGCGACGAATGCGGCCGGAACTCAGCCTCGAGTCACGATTTCAGTGCCGCCCGGCGAATCAATTCTTCCGTCGCCGATGCCACTAAAGCCGCGGCGTCCGCCATGCTTTGACCCAAGTCAGCTGGGTGGTCCTACCGTCCAGGCGTGGCTCTTCACGTTGAACGTTTTCTTTGACGCGAACTACGTCTCGGAGGATACGGCGAAGATTCGCTACGCCGTGTCGTTGCTGCGAGGACCCGCCATGGACTGGTGGCGCGTCATCGTCACGAAGCCGGTGGACTATGCGACTCTACCGACACGGGAAGGACAAACCGGACCCTGGGCGCCGTCGTATTTCGTGGAGGTGCCCCAGTATCGCACGTGGGACGCGTGGTGCGCAGGTCTGCGCGCTCGTTTCGAGCCAATCGCGGCTTTGATCGCGGCGCGACAGAAGCTCCGCTCTTGGCGCCAACTCGGTTCCGTCCAAGATTACACGAGCGGATTTCTGGCGCTATGCGAGCAGGTGGGATATATGCACGAGAGCGAGCGCATCGACCGCTACATCGGCGGCCTGAAGCAGGACATCGCTCAGGAAATCCAGCTTCGCGGCGTCACCGACTTTCAAGAAATCCTCGCTATGGCGGAAAAACTTGACTTCTTCCGCCGACCGAGACCGGGGTCC